GTGAGGTCACCCCGTGGGAAGTTTGTAGCCTGTTAATACAGATCTGTTTGCACTTCGTTAGCACACAACAACTGCCTATCAGACCTGCAGCGCCATGGAGCTGCAATGCACTTTGCTTCCAGGTTACCCAAATTCTCTGACCTTGGAGTGAGCAAACCCCCAGCCTCCTCAAAATGCTCAGAAATCCTTCTGCTTTGCCCAAATCCCTGTCATGCAGCAACCAGAGAACCCTGGGCTGGTTTAAGTGTCCTGCTGTGCTGCAGCCACCTCTATAAAAAGAAAGGTGAAGGGTGATCTGGATGTAACTCCTCTTCCTCTTGGTTTTCTGATCTCAGTGTGCTCTCTGCGGCTGAACATGGGATACTTGGCACCAGTGACAGCTTTGGCGTGGGGACAGAGAGAGAGAGAGACCCAGGAGCACTGCCTGGGTGCAGGCATAGCAAGGAATGGGGTAAACATGCTTCAGACCTGTGCTCTGGAAACTATGCAGAAGGTTAAAGTTGAGCCTGTCTGGAGCTGCCCACTCGCTGTCAAAGGAGCAGCTCTGAAACGTGGCCAGAATGCCTCACTGTGTGCTGTGCCTGGAAGGAATCAGTGCATTTCCAAGAAAACAGCCTTGTGCAGAGGGAAGTGAAGTGTAGGTCTTCCTTTATCCACATCCCAAAGGTCCTGGTGAAGCTACAGCCGTGAATGTGTTTTCCCAGGGCTTGTGGCTCGTGTCTGTGAGCTGGGAATGCTCTCTGTGCTTGTCAGTTCACAGCTGCACATTAGGAATAGCAAAATAGAAGAGCTGCTGAGCCTCTGTTAAGGCTGGGAATCCTTTCTTGAAAGGGTTCTTAGGGACACGTACATTGCTGCAAATGGACACAGTGGTGTGAAAAGGAAGGGGGATTTTACCTGTTTCTATCAGAACGAGCCCAGTTTGGCAAGCACACCTTCTGTGTGGCAACCAGGAGCATACAGGCCACCATCCACCATCTGGGATGTCGTAACACAGCAGGAAGATGCTCTGCTGGCCTGTTTCAGTGTAAGCACAGTGCTCTTTTGGGGTAAGCTATTGCATCAGTGCCATATGCAACATGTGGGTGAGGGACAGCAAGTTCTACAGCAGCCTCGGGATGAGCAGAAAGGCCCCTGCTTGAGTGCTTCCTCTCCTACCAGCTCTTTCTGAGTTGTTTAGGACCCACCTCGTGCATCTTTCATATCCATTCACTTACTCTCCCCAAAAAAGGAAAAAGCTCAGTGTCCAGGTGCAGAGCAGTGCTGAGTGCTGCTCCTCAGGGCTGGGTGCTGGGAGCAGTGTTAGCAGACATCTCTATGGGTGACACAGGCAGCGGGATCGAGTGCAGCCTGAGCACTTTGCAGATGGCACCAAGCTGAGAGGGTGCCCCGTCCCTGGAAGCACTGCAGGCCAGGCTGGATGGGGCTGTGAGCCAGCTGGGCTATGGAAGGTGTCCCTGCCTGCAGCAGGGGGTTGGGAGTGGGTGAGCTTCAAGGTCCCTTCCAACCCAAACCTTTCTGTGATACCAGGACATGCAGGAGCATAAGTAGAAAGTGATGGTGACAATAAGGAAACCTCCCCAAAGTTAGCAGCATGGATGCCACGAGATGGAAGAAGCACTATGGGTGTAAGGAATGAGAAAGTTTATTCTGGAGGTTGTTGAATTAGTCTTTAATTGTGTGCCAGCTTCTGGGTGGTCGCCTGGGGTGGAGGCAGGAAGGCTGACAGTCTTGGTGGCTCCTAAACTTCCATGGCGGCCTCAGCAGCGCTCGGTTACGGTGCTTCCTTCTCTTCTGGACGTGGTGTCTGTGGGATTTCGGAGTTGGGCCCATCCATCCCTTTCAGCCTCTTGTTCCGTCCTCATCTTCAGAGTTCTGCTTCACACAATCCATGTGGTTCCTGGAGGCACTGATGTGTGCAGCACTGCAGGTCCTGACTGGGCTGTCGATCTGCAAGTGAGAAGGGGAGGAAGGCAGAAAGGAGCAGCCTCCTGCCTGCTGCCCTGTGCTGCCCTCCCCTGCACAGCCCTGCTCACTGGGTTGCTGCTCTGCCAGCCATTTCCATGGCCATGGGGCTGCCCGTGTCCCCAGGGCTGTATTGGAGGCACGGAGAGCAGATGGAGAGCTGAGGACAGGCGCGTGTCCTCCTCTGGTTCCATCTTGGAGCGGATGCCCTTCTGCAAGGCAGAGGGGAAAGAAGGCAGAAAGGAGCAGCCTCCTGCCCTGCTGCCCTGTGCTGCCCTCCCCTGCACAGCCCTGCTCACCGGGTTGCTGCTCTGAAAATGGTTTCCTTGGCCATTTGGGTCACCAATGCCATGTTGACACAGGCACTGCGGTCTGCAGGTCCGGTGCCAGCACCTGGAGTGGGGTCAGGACTCAGCAAAGCAGCACCAAAAGTTGGGGTGAGGGCAGGGAGATTTTTGGGAGCTTCCCTGATCCTGTAGGAACACGACAGGCTCCAGTTTGGAGCTGACTTATCTTTCCTGAAGGACACCCATTTTGGAGGGCTGAGCTGCTGAACTTTGGGTCATCTGGTGCCATTTTTTGGGGGGGCTGTCCATCTGCAAGGCGGAAGGGAGGAAGGAAGAAGCCAGCAGCCTCCTGCCCTTCTGCCCTGTGCTGCCCTCCCCTGCACAGCCCTGCTCACCGGGATGCTGCTCTGAAAATGGTTTCCTTGGCCATTTGGGTCACCAATGCCACGTTGACGCAGGCACTGCGGTCTGCAGGTCCGGTGCCAGCACCTGGAGTGGGGTCAGGACTCAGCAAAGCAGCACCAAATGTTGGGGTGAGGGCAGGGGGATTTTTGGGAGCTTCCTTGGAGCTACAGGAGCACAGCGGGCTCCAGTTTGGAGCTGACTTATCTTTTTTGTAGGACACCCATTTGGAGGGCTGAGCTGAGACTCTTTTAATCATCTGGTGCCATTTTTGGGGGGGCTGTCCATCTGCAAGGCAGAGGGAAAGGAAGGCAGAAAGGAGCAGCCTCCTGCCCTGCTGCCCTGTGCTGCCCTCCCCTGCACAGCCCTGCTCACCGGGTTGCTGTCCCCAGGGCTGTGAGGAAAGGCCACTGCAGTCAGCAGGTCCGGTGCCAGCACCTGGAGTGGGGTCAGGACTCAGCACAGCAGCCCCCAGCATTGGGGCAGGGCAAGGGAAAGCATGGGGAGCTGGCAGGGTCCCGCAGGAGCGAGGCGGGCTGCAGTTGGGGAGCGACTTATCTGTGGTGGGGGTGAGCACAGGAGCGTCTCGCCGTCCTGCTGTGTCCCTGTCCCCGTGTGTGGCTGTGAGGCAGAGGAGGAGCGGCCCCATCCATCGCCATGGGCTGCTCCTGCCCGCCACAGCCCTGGCTCCCTGGGTCCTGGGCGGCGCTCTGGGGCTGGCACTGCCCTTGTGCTCAGCATTCCGGGCTGCTGTGACACCAAGCTGGCTCTGGAACACAGCCCCCCCAGCGTGGTGCTCTTGTGACATGGCTGTGCCGGCTGCAGGGGGCTTCCTGGAGCTGCTGGCTGCCCCTGGCAACGTGGCCGTGCCATAGCAGGGCTGGTGCTGCCTGGCCTGGGGCTGCTGCCTTGCGCCGTCCGTCTCATAAATGATGCGTTGTTCATCGCTGAGTGTCTGATGGTGCTTTGGCCGTGGCAGCATGAGCGTCACTGCGCAGTGTGTGAGAAGAGGAAGGCCATCTTTGGCATCCAGCTTTGCCGTGTGATCGGGGGGCTTGGATTGCAAGCAGCCAGGGAGGGGATCCTCAGTGCATCCCGCTTTGAGGCTGGTGATGGGAATGGATGGTGTGGGCCTGAGCTGGCTGCCAGGGCAGTAAGAGAGCAGCAAAGGTGCAGGATAAGAGAAGTGCAGTAGGGAAATGTGCCTGCGTGGGAGCCCAACTCAAATGCCTGCAGACGAATGCACAGAGCATGGGGAAGGAGCCACAAGTGTGTCAGGTGTGTGTGTGCCTACAGGGCTGTGATGTCACTGGCATCACTGAGCTGTGGTGGGATGGCTGTCATGAGTGGAGTGCAGGAATGGAGCAGGCTGCTGGCGGACCTTATGGCGGCCTTCCAGGACCTGAAGGGGACCTACAGAAAAGCTGGGGAGGGACTTTTGATCTGGGCAGGAGGAGGCAGGATGAGGAGAAATGACTTCCAACTGGAGGAGGGTAGGTTTAGAGTAGGGATTGGGAGGAAATGCTTTCCTGTGAGGGTGGTGAGACAGTGGCCCAGGTTGCCCAGCCAGGCTGTGATGCCCCGTCCATCCCTGGAGGTGTTCAAGGCCAGGCTGGATGGGGCCCTGGGCAGCCTGGGCTGCTATGAAATGGGAAGGTTGGTGGCCCTGCATTGGTGGCGGGTTGGAGCTTTGTGATCCTTGAGGTCCCTTCCATCCCAAGCCATTCTGTGATTTACTCTTTTCCTTCCTCACCTCTCGTGAGTCTCCTGAAGGAGTCTGCCTTGTCTTGAGGCATGCTCAGTACAGTGGCTGAGCATTTGTCACACATGGCAGCACACGAAGCTTTCTGTGCAAGTCTGAGGATGGGATCGTTGCTTAGCAGCTGGTGGGATTTCAGAGGGGGAACAGCGTGATGAAGATGTTGATGTGTGCAATCCAAAACATGACCTCACAGAAAGATTCACAGCCGTGGCTGTAAGGCTGCACTGGCACACGAGGTCGGGGTAGATAAGCAGCGCTGCCTTGCCTTCCTCACTAAGTCCTCACCCTCTAGGAACGAAGCTTAAGCACAGGCTACCAGCTGCTGCCTTATTAATTAGCTCTGCAGGGTCACTGCTGAGGATCGTGTTCCCTGAGCATGCTCAGCGTAGCCCAGCTCTGCCTCAAGTCAGTAAAGCTGTGCAGGAATGTTTCCATGCAGAAAGGCTGTGCGGGAGTCAGCCTGGGAGAAGGGCTGTCACACTGCTTATTGAAGCCCTGCAGGAGCACTTAACAGGGAAAGGTGTGATGGGGGTGAGTGGTCCAGCAGATGGTATGCAGGCAGGTCTGTGCACTCAGTCAGTGGGAGGTGGTGAGCTTGGGGTGATGGTGGTAATGGTGGTTCTCCCAAACCAGCAACCTGCTCCATCGTTAGAATCATAGAGTGACAGAACGGCCTGGGTTGCAAAGGAGCTCAATGCTCATCCAGCTCCAAGCCCTGCTGTGTGCAGGTCCCCAACCAGCCGCCCAGGCTGCCCAGAGCCACATCCAGCCTGGCCTTGAATGCCTGCAGGGATGGGGCATCCACAGCCTCCTTGGGCAACCTGTGCCAGTGCCTCACCACCCTCTGCCTCCAAAACTTCCTCCTCACATCCAACCCAAACCTCCCCTGTCTCACTTTCAAGCCATTCCCCTTGTCCTGTCACCACCCACCCTCACACACAGCCGTTCCCCCTCCCATTTATCTGCTTCTATCAAGTACTGGAAGGCCACAGTGAGGTTTCCCTGGGTCTCGTTCAGCTTACGATACACTTTGTCTTATAAAGGCCTGTCAGTGAATGTTGAAGAATAAAACTGGGGAGAAATCTAGAAGGTGGTCACAAACGAGAAGAGAATGGAATGACGAAACATCAATAGAAGGAGATGAGCATGATAAGGAAAGCCCCAGAAGGTTCCCGAGAAAGATGTCACGAGGTGGAAGCAGTAGACGAGCTTAATGAGACAAGCAGTCTGTTCTGAAGGTGATTTTAATGGTTTAGATGCTCTGCTCAGCTTCAAACCAAGACGAGGTGAGCACAGAGCAGCTGCCTTTGTCCTCGAGAGCATCCCTGTGTGTGTGGGTCCGTGCTGGGGTCCGTAGCTGGGATGTGCTGGGAAGCTGCCCCTGTCCATGCAGGGTGGATCCTCAGGCTGCCTGCAGGAGCGCAGAGCAGTGCAGAACAGGGCAGGTGCTTTCTTCGTGCTTCGGTCGGTGCCTTGGCCAGGTGCAGACACGGGTTGTTGGGCAGAGGCTGCGGTGCTTTGGTTGTGTGTGTGTGCAGAAGTCTTTCTGCAAGGCAGAGGAGAGGGAAGGCAGAAAGGAGCAGCCTCCTGCCCTGCTGCCCTGTGCTGCTCCCCCTGCACAGCCCTGCTCACCGGGTTGCTGCTCTGCCAGCCATTTCCATGGCCGTGTGGGGCTGCCTGTGTCCCCAGGGCTGTATTGGAGGCACGGAGAGCAGATGGAGAGCTGAGGACAGGCGCGTGTCCTCCTGTGGTTCCATCTTGGAGCGGATGCCCTTCTGCAAGGCAGAGGGGAAAGAAGGCAGAAAGGAGCAGCCTGCTGCCCTGCTGCCCTGTGCTGCCCTCCCCTGCACAGCCCTGCTCACCGGGTTGCTGCTCTGAAAATGGTTTCCTTGGCCATTTGGGTCACCAATGCCACGTTGACACTGGCACTGCGGTCTGCAGGTCCGGTGCCAGCACCTGGAGTGGGGCCAGGACTCAGCAAAGCAGCACCAAATGTTGGGGTGAGGACAGGGGGATTTTTGGGAGCTTCCCTGATCCTGTAGCAGCACGACAGGCTCCAGTTTGGAGCTGACTTATCTTTTTTGTTGGACACCCGTTTTGGAGGGCTGAGCTGCTGAACTTTGGGTCATCTGGTGCCATTTTTGGGGGGGCTGTCCATCTGCAAGGCAGAGGAGGAGGAAGGAAGAAGCCAGCAGCCTCCTGCCCTTCTGCCCTGTGCTGCCCTCCCCTGCACAGCCCTGCTCACCGGGTTGCTGCTCTGCCAGCCATTTCCATGGCCATTTGGGTCACCAATGCCACGTCGACACAGGCACTGCGGTCTCCAGGTCCGGTGCCAGCACCTGGAGTGGGGTCAGGACTCAGCAAAGCAGCACCAAACATTGAGGTAGAGCAAGGGGTCCTTGGGCTGCTTCCATGGTCCTTTAGGAGCACAGCGGGCTCCAGTTTGGAGCTGACTTATCTTTTTTGTAGGACACCCATTTGGAGGGCTGAGCTGAGACTCTTTTAATCATCTGGTGCCATTTTTGGGGGGGCTGTCCATCTGCAAGGCAGAGGGGAAGTACAAGAGGAGCAGCCTCCTGCCCTGCTGCCCTGTGCTGCCCTCCCCTGCACAGCCCTGCTCACCGGGTTGCTGTCCCCAGGGCTGTGAGGAAAGGCCACTGCAGTCAGCAGGTCCGGTGCCAGCACCTGGAGTGGGGTCAGGACTCAGCACAGCAGCCCCCAACATCGGGGCAGGGCAAGGGAAAGCATGGGGAGCTGGCAGGGTCCCGCAGGAGCGAGGCGGGCTGCAGTTGGGGAGCGACTTATCTGTGGTGGGGGTGAGCACAGGAGCGTCTCGCCGTCCTGCTGTGTCCCTGTCCCCGTGTGTGGCTGTGAGGCAGAGGAGGAGCGGCCCCATCCATCGCCATGGGCTGCTCCTGCCCGCCACAGCCCTGGCTCCCTGGGTCCTGGGCGGCGCTCTGGGGCTGGCACTGCCCTTGTGCTCAGCATTCCGGGCTGCTGTGACACCAAGCTGGCTCTGGAACACAGCCCCCCCAGCGTGGTGCTCTTGTGACATGGCTGTGCCGGCTGCAGGGGGCTTCCTGGAGCTGCTGGCTGCCCCTGGCAACGTGGCCGTGCCATAGCAGGGCTGGTGCTGCCTGGCCTGGGGCTGCTGCCTTGCGCCGTCCGTCTCATAAATGATGCGTTGTTCATCGCTGAGTGTCTGATGGTGCTTTGGCCGTGGCAGCATGAGCGTCACTGCGCGGTGTGTGAGAAGAGGAAGGCCATCTTTGGCATCCAGCTTTGCCGTGTGATCGGGGGGCTTGGATTGCAAGCAGCCAGGGAGGGGATCCTCAGTGCATCCCGCTTTGAGGCTGGTGATGGGAATGGATGGTGTGGGCCTGAGCTGGCTGCCAGGGCAGTAAGAGAGCAGCAAAGGTGCAGGATAAGAGAAGTGCAGTAGGGAAATGTGCCTGCGTGGGAGCCCAACTCAAATGCCTGCAGACGAATGCACAGAGCATGGGGAAGGAGCCACAAGTGTGTCAGGTGTGTGTGTGCCTACAGGGCTGTGATGTCACTGGCATCACTGAGCTGTGGTGGGATGGCTGTCATGAGTGGAGTGCAGGAATGGAGCAGGCTGCTGGCGGACCTTATGGCGGCCTTCCAGGACCTGAAGGGGACCTACAGAAAAGCTGGGCAGGGACTTTTGATCTGGGCAGGAGGAGGCAGGATGAGGAGAAATGACTTCCAACTGGAGGAGGGTAGGTTTAGAGTAGGGATTGGGAGGAAATGCTTTCCTGTGAGGGTGGTGAGACAGTGGCCCAGGTTGCCCAGCCAGGCTGTGATGCCCCGTCCATCCCTGGAGGTGTTCAAGGCCAGGCTGGATGGGGCCCTGGGCAGCCTGGGCTGCTATGAAATGGGGAGGTTGGTGGCCCTGCATTGGTGGGGGGTTGGAGCTTTGTGATCCTTGAGGTCCCTTCCATCCCAAGCCATTCTGTGATTTACTCTTTTCCTTCCTCACCTCTCGTGAGTCTCCTGAAGGAGTCTGCCTTGTCTTGAGGCATGCTCAGTACAGTGGCTGAGCATTTGTCACACACGGCAGCACACGAAGCTTTCTGTGCAAGTCTGAGGATGGGATCGTTGCTTAGCAGCTGGTGGGATTTCAGAGGGGGAACAGCGTGATGAAGATGTTGATGTGTGCAATCCAAAACATGACCTCACAGAAAGATTCACAGCCGTGGCTGTAAGGCTGCACTGGCACACGAGGTCGGGGTAGATAAGCAGCGCTGCCTTGCCTTCCTCAGTAAGTCCTCGAACGAAGCTTAAGCACAGGCTGCCAGCTGCTGCCTTATTAATTAGCTCTGCAGGGTCACTGCTGAGGATGGTGTTCCCTGAGCATGCTCAGCGTAGCCCAGCTCTGCCTCAAGTCAGTAAAGCTGTGCAGGAATGTTTCCATGCAGAAAGGCTGTGCGGGAGTCAGCCTGGGAGAAGGGCTGTCACACTGGTTATTGAAGCCCTGCAGGAGCACTGCACAGGGAAAGGTGTGATGGGGGTGAGTGGTCCAGCAGATGGTATGCAGGCAGGTCTGTGCACTCAGTCAGTGTGAGGTGGTGAGCTTGGGGTGATGGTGGTAATGGTGGTTCTCCCAAACCAGCAACCTGCTCCATCGTTAGAATCATAGAGTGACAGAATGGCCTGGGTTGCAAAGGAGCACAGCGCTCATCCAGCTCCAAGCCCTGCTGTGTGCAGGTCGCCAAGCAGCAGCCCAGGCTGCCCAGAGCCACATCCAGCCTGGCCTTGAATGCCTGCAGGGATGGGGCATCCACAGCCTCCTTGGGCAACCTGTGCCAGTGCCTCACCACCCTCTGCCTCCAAAACTTCCTCCTCACATCCAACCCAAACCTCCCCTGTCTCACTTTCAAGCCATTCCCCTTGTCCTGTCACCACCCACCCTCACACACAGCCGTTCCCCCTCCCATTTATCTGCTTCTTTCAAGTACTGGAAGGCCGCAGTGAGGTTTCCCTGGGTCTCGTTCAGCTTACGATACACTTTGTCTTATAAAGGCCTGTCAGTGAATGTTGAAGAATAAAAATGGGGAGAAATCTAGAAGGTGGTCACAAACGAGAAGAGAATGGAATCACAATACATCAATAGAAGGAGATGAGCATGATAAGGAAAGCCCCAGAAGGTTCCCGAGAAAGATGTCACGAGGTGGAAGCAGTAGACGAGCTTAATGAGACAAGCAGTCTGTTCTGAAGGTGATTTTAATGGTTTAGATGCTCTGCTCAGCTTCAAACCAAGACGAGGTGAGCACAGAGCAGCTGCCTTTGTCCTCGAGAGCATCCCTGTGTGTGTGGGTCCGTGCTGGGGTCCGTAGCTGGGATGTGCTGGGAAGCTGCCCCTGTCCATGCAGGGTGGATCCTCAGGCTGCCTGCAGGAGCGCAGAGCAGTGCAGAACAGGGCAGGTGCTTTCTTCGTGCTTCGGTCGGTGCCTTGGCCAGGTGCAGACACGGGTTGTTGGGCAGAGGCTGCGGTGCTTTGGCTGTGTGTGTGTGCAGAAGTCTTTCTGCAAGGCAGAGGAGAGGGAAGGCAGAAAGGAGCAGCCTCCTGCCCTGCTGCCCTGTGCTGCTCCCCCTGCACAGCCCTGCTCACCGAGTTGCTGCTCTGCCAGCCATTTCCATGGCCGTGTGGGGCTGCCTGTGTCCCCAGGGCTGTATTGGAGGCACGGAGAGCAGACGGAGAGCTGAGGACAGGCGCGTGTCCTCCTGTGGTTCCATCTTGGAGTGGATGCCCTTCTGCAAGGCAGAGGGGAAAGAAGGCAGAAAGGAGCAGCCTGCTGCCCTGCTGCCCTGTGCTGCCCTCCCCTGCACAGCCCTGCTCACCGGGTTGCTGCTCTGAAAATGGTTTCCTTGGCCATTTGGGTCACCAATGCCATGTTGACGCAGGCACTGCGGTCTGCAGGTCCGGTGCCAGCACCTGGAGTGGGGCCAGGACTCAGCAAAGCAGCACCAAATGTTGGGGTGAGGGCAGGGGGATTTTTGGGAGCTTCCCTAATCCTGTAGCAGCACGACAGGCTCCAGTTTGGAGCTGACTTATCTTTTTTGTTGGACACCCGTTTTGGAGGGCTGAGCTGCTGAATTTTGGGTCATCTGGTGCCATTTTTGGGGGGGCTGTCCATCTGCAAGGCAGAGGAGGAGGAAGGAAGAAGCCAGCAGCCTCCTGCCCTTCTGCCCTGTGCTGCCCTCCCCTGCACAGCCCTGCTCACCGGGTTGCTGCTCTGCCAGCCATTTCCATGGCCATGGGGCTGCCTGTGTCCCCAGGTATCTGTGGAAAGGGTCACTGCAATCAGCAACTGTGGTGCCAGCCCCTGCACAGGGAACAGGGCTGAGCAAAGCAGCACCAAACATTGAGGTAGAGCAAGGGGTCCTTGGGCTGCTTCCATGGTCCTTTAGGAACACAACAGACTCGAGTCTGGGGCTGACTTAGCTTTTTTGTCGGATGTGAACAGCAATTTGGAGGGCTGAGCTCCATCGCTTTTGGTCATGTGGTGTCAGTTGTGTTGGGCTGTCCTTCTGCAAGGCAGAGGGGAAATACAAGAGGAGCAGCCTCCTGCCCTGCTGCCCTGTGCTGCCCTCCCCTGCACAGCCCTGCTCACCGGGTTGCTGCTCTGAAAATGGTTTCCTTGGCCATTTGGGTCACCAATGCCACGTCGACACAGGCACTGCGGTCTCCAGGTCCGGTGCCAGCACCTGGAGTGGGGTCAGGACTCAGCAAAGCAGCACCAAAAGTTGGGGTGAGGGCAGGGGGATTTTTGGGAGCTTCCTTGGAGCTACAGGAGCACAGCGGGCTCCAGTTTGGAGCTGACTTATCTTTTTTGTAGGACACCCATTTGGAGGGCTGAGCTGAGACTCTTTTAATCATCTGGTGCCATTTTTGGGGGGGCTGTCCATCTGCAAGGCAGAGGGAAAGGAAGGATGAAAGGAGCAGCCTGCTGCCCTGCTGCCCTGTGCTGCCCTCCCCTGCACAGCCCTGCTCACCGGGTTGCTGTCCCCAGGGCTGTGAGGAAAGGCCACTGCAGTCAGCAGGTCCGGTGCCAGCACCTGGAGTGGGGTCAGGACTCAGCACAGCAGCCCCCGACACCGGGGCAGGGCAAGGGAAAGCATGGGGAGCTGGCAGGGTCCCGCAGGAGCGAGGCGGGCTGCAGTTGGGGAGCGACTTATCTGTGGTGGGGGTGAGCACAGGAGCGTCTCGCCGTCCTGCTGTGTCCCTGTCCCCGTGTGTGGCTGTGAGGCAGAGGAGGAGCGGCCCCATCCATCGCCATGGGCTGCTCCTGCCCGCCACAGCCCTGGCTCCCTGGGTCCTGGGCGGCGCTCTGGGGCTGGCACTGCCCTTGTGCTCAGCATTCCGGGCTGCTGTGACACCAAGCTGGCTCTGGAACACAGCCCCCTCAGCGTGGTGCTCTTGTGACATGGCTGTGCCGGCTGCAGGGGGCTTCCTGGAGCTGCTGGCTGCCCCTGGCAACGTGGCCGTGCCATAGCAGGGCTGGTGCTGCCTGGCCTGGGGCTGCTGCCTTGCGCCGTCCGTCTCATAAATGATGCCTTGTTCATCGCTGAGTGTCTGATGGTGCTTTGGCCGTGGCAGCATGAGCGTCACTGCGCGGTGTGTGAGAAGAGGAAGGCCATCTTTGGCATCCAGCTTTGCCGTGTGATCGGGGGGCTTGGATTGCAAGCAGCCAGGGAGGGGATCCTCAGTGCATCCCGCTTTGAGGCTGGTGATGGGAATGGATGCTGTGGGCCTGAGCTGGCTGCCAGGGCAGTAAGAGAGCAGCAAAGGTGCAGGATAAGAGAAGTGCAGTAGGGAAACGTGCCTGCGTGGGAGCCCAACTCAAATGCCTGCAGACGAATGCACAGAGCATGGGGAAGGAGCCACAAGTGTGTCAGGTGTGTGTGTGCCTACAGGGCTGTGATGTCACTGGCATCACTGAGCTGTGGTGGGATGGCTGTCATGAGTGGAGTGCAGGAATGGAGCAGGCTGCTGGCGGACCTTATGGCGGCCTTCCAGGACCTGAAGGGGACCTACAGAAAAGCTGGGGAGGGACTTTTGATCTGGGCAGGAGGAGGCAGGATGAGGAGAAATGACTTCCAACTGGAGGAGGGTAGGTTTAGAGTAGGGATTGGGAGGAAATGCTTTCCTGTGAGGGTGGTGAGACAGTGGCCCAGGTTGCCCAGCCAGGCTGTGATGCCCCGTCCATCCCTGGAGGTGTTCAAGGCCAGGCTGGATGGGGCCCTGGGCAGCCTGGGCTGCTATGAAATGGGGAGGTTGGTGGCCCTGCATTGGTGGGGGGTTGGAGCTTTGTGATCCTTGAGCTCCCTTCCATCCCAAGCCATTCTGTGATTTACTCTTTTCCTTCCTCACCTCTCGTGAGTCTCCTGAAGGAGTCTGCCTTGTCTTGAGGCATGCTCAGTACAGTGGCTGAGCATTTGTCACACACGGCAGCACACGAAGCTTTCTGTGCAAGTCTGAGGATGGGATCGTTGCTTAGCAGCTGGTGGGATTTCAGAGGGGGAACAGCGTGATGAAGATGTTGATGTGTGCAATCCAAAACATGACCTCACAGAAAGATTCACAGCCGTGGCTGTAAGGCTGCACTGGCACACGAGGTCGGGGTAGATAAGCAGCGCTGCCTTGCCTTCCTCAGTAAGTCCTCGAACGAAGCTTAAGCACAGGCTGCCAGCTGCTGCCTTATTAATTAGCTCTGCAGGGTCACTGCTGAGGATGGTGTTCCCTGAGCATGCTCAGCGTAGCCCAGCTCTGCCTCAAGTCAGTAAAGCTGTGCAGGAATGTTTCCATGCAGAAAGGCTGTGCGGGAGTCAGCCTGGGAGAAGGGCTGTCACACTGGTTCTTGAAGCCCTGCAGGAGCACTGCACAGGGAAAGGTGTGATGGGGGTGAGTGGTCCAGCAGATGGTATGCAGGCAGGTCTCTGCACTTGGTCAGTGTGAGGTGGTGAGCTTGGGGTGATGGTGGTAATGGTGGTTCTCCCAAACCAGCAACCTGCTCCATCGTTAGAATCATAGAGTGACAGAACGGCCTGGGTTGCAAAGGAGCACAGCGCTCATCCAGCTCCAAGCCCTGCTGTGTGCAGGTCGCCAAGCAGCAGCCCAGGCTGCCCAGAGCCACATCCAGCCTGGCCTTGAATGCCTGCAGGGATGGGGCATCCACAGCCTCCTTGGGCAACCTGTGCCAGTGCCTCACCACCCTCTGCCTCCAAAACTTCCTCCTCACATCCAACCCAAACCTCCCCTGTCTCACTTTCAAGCCATTCCCCTTGTCCTGTCACCACCCACCCTCACACACAGCCGTTCCCCCTCCCATTTATCTGCTTCTTTCAAGTACTGGAAGGCCGCAGTGAGGTTTCCCTGGGTCTCGTTCAGCTTACGATACACTTTGTCTTATAAAGGCCTGTCAGTGAATGTTGAAGAATAAAAATGGGGAGAAATCTAGAAGGTGGTCACAAACGAGAAGAGAATGGAATGACGAAACATCAATAAAAGGAGATGAGCATGATAAGGAAAGCCCCAAAAGGTTCCCGAGAAAGATGTCACGAGGTGGAAGCAGTAGACGACCTTAATGAGACAAGCAGTCTGTTCTGAAGGTGATTTTAATGGTTTAGATGCTCTGCTCAGCTTCAAACCAAGACGAGGTGAGCACAGAGCAGCTGCCTTTGTCCTCGAGAGCATCCCTGTGTGTGTGGGTCCGTGCTGGGGTCCGTAGCTGGGATGTGCTGGGAAGCTGCCCCTGTCCATGCAGGGTGGATCCTCAGGCTGCCTGCAGGAGCGCAGAGCAGTGCAGAACAGGGCAGGTGCTTTCTTCGTGCTTCGGTCGGTGCCTTGGCCAGGTGCAGACACGGGTTGTTGGGCAGAGGCTGGGGTGCTTTGGCTGTGTGTGTGTGCAGAAGTCTTTCTGCAAGGCAGAGGAGAGGGAAGGCAGAAAGGAGCAGCCTCCTGCCCTGCTGCCCTGTGCTGCTCCCCCTGCACAGCCCTGCTCACCGGGTTGCTGCTCTGCCAGCCATTTCCATGGCCGTGTGGGGCTGCCTGTGTCCCCAGGGCTGTATTGGAGGCACGGAGAGCAGATGGAGAGCTGAGGACAGGCGCATGTCCTCCTCTGGTTCCATCTTGGAGCGGATGCCCTTCTGCAAGGCAGAGGAGGAGGAAGGAAGAAGCCAGCAGCCTTCTGCCCTGCTGCCCTGTGCTGCCCTCCCCTGCACAGCCCTGCTCACCGGGTTGCTGCTCTGCCAGCCATTTCCATGGCCATGGGGCTGCCTGTGTCCCCAGGTATCTGTGGAAAGGGTCACTGCAATCAGCAACTGTGGTGCCAGCCCCTGCACAGGGAACAGGGCTGAGCAAAGCAGCACCAAACATTGAGGTAGAGCAAGGGGTCCTTGGGCTGCTTCCATGGTCCTTTAGGAACACAACAGACTCGAGTTTGGGGCTGACTTAGCTTTTTTGTCGGATGTGAACAGCAATTTGGAGGGCTGAGCTCCATCGCTTTTGGTCATGTGGTGTCAGTTGTGTTGGGCTGTCCATCTGCAAGGCAGAGGGGAAGTACAAGAGGAGCAGCCTCCTGCCCTGCTGCCCTGTGCTGCCCTCCCCTGCACAGCCCTGCTCACCGGGTTGCTGTCCCCAGGGCTGTGAGGAAAGGCCACTGCAGTCAGCAGGTCCGGTGCCAGCACCTGGAGTGGCGTCAGGACTCAGCACAGCAGCCCCCAACATTGGGGCAGGGCAAGGGAAAGCATGGGGAGCTGGCAGGGTCCCGCAGGAGCGAGGCGGGCTGCAGTTTGGGAGCGACTTATCTGTGGTGGGGGTGAGCACAGGAGCGTCTCGCCGTCCTGCTGTGTCCCTGTCCCCGTGTGTGGCTGTGAGGCAGAGGAGGAGCGGCCCCATCCATCGCCATGGGCTGCTCCTGCCCGCCACAGCCCTGGCTCCCTGGGTCCTGGGCGGCGCTCTGGGGCTGGCACTGCCCTTGTGCTCAGCATTCCGGGCTGCTGTGACACCAAGCTGGCTCTGGAACACAGCCCCCCCAGCGTGGTGCTCTTGTGACATGGCTGTGCCGGCTGCAGGGGGCTTCCTGGAGCTGCTGGCTGCCCCTGGCAAAGTGGCCGTGCCATAGCAGGGCTGGTGCTGCCTGGCCTGGGGCTGCTGCCTTGCGCCGTCCGTCTCATAAATGATGCCTTGTTCATCGCTGAGTGTCTGATGGTGCTTTGGCCGTGGCAGCATGAGCGTCACTGCGCGGTGTGTGAGAAGAGGAAGGCCATCTTTGGCATCCAGCTTTGCCGTGTGATCGGGGGGCTTGGATTGCAAGCAGCCAGGGAGGGGATCCTCAGTGCATCCCGCTTTGAGGCTGGTGATGGGAATGGATGGTGTGGGCCTGAGCTGGCTGCCAGGGCAGTAAGAGAGCAGCAAAGGTGCAGGATAAGAGAAGTGCAGTAGGGAAATGTGCCTGCGTGGGAGCCCAACTCAAATGCCTGCAGACGAATGCACAGAGCATGGGGAAGGAGCCACAAGTGTGTCAGGTGTGTGTGTGCCTACAGGGCTGTGATGTCACTGGCATCACTGAGCTGTGGTGGGATGGCTGTCATGAGTGGAGTGCAGGAATGGAGCAGGCTGCTGGCGGACCTTATGGCGGCCTTCCAGGACCTGAAGGGGACCTACAGAAAAGCTGGGCAGGGACTTTTTATGTGGGCAGGTGGAGGCAGGATGAGGAGAAATGACTTCCAACTGGAGGAGGGTAGGTTTAGAGTAGGGATTGGGAGGAAATTCTTTCCTGTGAGGGTGGTGAGACAGTGGCCCAGGTTGCCCAGCCAGGCTGTGATGCCCCGTCCATCCCTGGAGGTGTTCAAGGCCAGGTTGGATGGGGCCCTGGGCAGCCTGGGCTGCTATGAAATGGGGAGGTTGGTGGCCCTGCATTGGTGGGGGGTTGGAGCTTCGTGATCCTTGAGGTCCCTTCCATCCCAAGCCATTCTGTGATTTACTCTTTTCCTTCCTCACCTCTCGTGAGTCTCCTGAAGGAGTCTGCCTTGTCTTGAGGCATGCTCAGTACAGTGGCTGAGCATTTGTCACACACGGCAGCACACGAAGCTTTCTGTGCAAGTCTGAGGATGGGATCGTTGCTTAGCAGCTGGTGGGATTTCAGAGGGGGAACAGCGTGATGAAGATGTTGATGTGTGCAATCCAAAACATGACCTCACAGAAAGATTCACAGCCGTGGCTGTAAGGCTGCACTGGCACACGAGGTCGGAGTAGATAAGCAGCGCTGCCTTGCCTTCCTCAGTAAGTCCTCAAACGAAGCTTAAGCACAGGCTGCCAGCTGCTGCCTTATTAATTAGCTCTGCAGGGTCACTGCTGAGGATGGTGTTCCCTGAGCATGCTCAGCGTAGCCCAGCTCTGCCTCAAGTCAGTAAAGCTGTGCAGGAATGTTTCCATGCAGAAAGGCTGTGCGGGAGTCAGCCTGGGAGAAGGGCTGTCACACTGGTTCTTGAAGCCCTGCAGGAGCACTGCACAGGGAAAGGTGTGATGGGGGTGAGTGGTCCAGCAGATGGTATGCAGGCAGGTCTGTGCACTCAGTCAGTGTGAGGTGGTGAGCTTGGGGTGATGGTGGTAATGGTGGTTCTCCCAAACCAGCAACCTGCTCCATCGTTAGAATCATAGAGTGACAGAACGGCCTGGGTTGCACAGGAGCACAGCGCTCATCCAGCTCCAAGCCCTGCTGTGTGCAGGTCGCCAAGCAGCAGCCCAGGCTGCCCAGAGCCACATCCAGCCTGGCCTTGAATGCCTGCAGGGATGGGGCATCCACAGCCTCCTTGGGCAACCTGTGCCAGTGCCTCACCACCCTCTGCCTCCAAAACTTCCTCCTCACATCCAACCCAAACCTCCCCTGTCTCACTTTCAAGCCATTCCCCTTGTCCTGTCACCACCCACCCTCACACACAGCCGTTCCCCCTCCCATTTATCTGCTTCTTTCAAGTACTGGAAGGCCGCAGTGAGGTTTCCCTGGGTCTCGTTCAGCTTACGATACACTTTGTCTTATAAAGGCCTGTCAGTGAATGTTGAAGAATAAAAATGGGGAGAAATCTAGAAGGTGGTCACAAACGAGAACTCTTCAATATCTTTATTGATGATCTCGATGAGGGCATCGAGTGCACCCTCAGTAAATTCGCAGATGACACCAAATTGGCTGGAAGTGTGGATCTGCCTGGGGGTAGCGAGGCCCTACAGAGGGATCTGGACAGGCTGGAGAGCTGGGCTGAAGCCAATAGGATGAGTTTCAACAAGGCCAAATGCAGGGTCCTGCACTTCGGCCACAACAACCCCAGGCGACGCTGCAGGCTTGGGGCGGTGTGGCTGGAGGACTGCATAGAGGAAATGGACCTGGGGGTATTGATTGATGCTCGGCTGAAAGTGAGCCCACAGTGTGCCCAGGTAGCTAAGAAGGCCAATGGCATCCTGGCTTGCATCAGAAACAGTGCTGCCAGCAGGAGCAGAGAGGTGATTGTTCCCCTGTATTCAGCACTGGTGAGGCCGCACCTCGAGTGCTGTGTCCAGTTTTGGGCCCCTCACTGCAAGAAAGACATTGAGGCCCTGGAACGTGTTCAGAGGAGGGCAACAAAGCTGGTGAGGGGTCTGGAACACAGGGCTGATGAGGAGAGGCTGAAGGAGCTGGGAATGTTCAGGGTGAGAAGAGGAGCTCAGGGGAGGCCTCACTGCTCTCTATAACTTCCTGAAGGGAGGCTGCAGGGAGCTGGGGGTCGGCCTCTGCTCTCGTGTCATCAGTGATAGGAGCAGAGGGAATGGCTTCAAGCTACGGCAGGGGAGATTCAGGCTGGACATGAGGAAGTGTTACTTGTCAGAAAGGGTGGTCAGGCAGTGCAATGGATGCCCAGGGAGGTGGTGGAGTCACCGAGCCTGGGGGTGTTCAAGGCAAGGCTGGATGTTGTGTTGAGGGACATGGTTTAGTAGGTGCTGTTGGGAATAGGTGAATGGTTGGACTGGGTGATCGTTTAGGTCTTTTCCAACCTCGGTGATTCTATGATTCTATGATTCTATGAGAATGGAATCACAATACATCAATAGAAGGAGATGAGCATGATAAGGAAACCCCAAAAGGTTCCCAAGAAAGATGTCACGAGGTGGAAGCAGTAGACGAGCTTAATGAGACAAGCAGTCTGTTCTGAAGGTTATTTTAATGGTTTAGATGCTCTGCTCAGCTTCAAACCAAGACGAGGTGAGCACAGAGCAGCTGCCTTTGTCCTCGAGAGCATCCCTGTGTGTGTGGGTCCGTGCTGGGGTCCGTAGCTGGGATGTGCTGGGAAGCTGCCCCTGTCCATGCAGGGTGGATCCTCAGGCTGCCTGCAGGAGCGCAGAGCAGTGCAGAACAGGGCAGGTGCTTTCTTCGTGCTTTGGTCAGTGCCTTGGCCAGGTGCAGACACGGGTTGTTGGGCAGAGGCTGCGGTGCTTTGGCTGTGTGTGTGTGCAGAAGTCTTTCTGCAAGGCAGAGGAGAGGGAAGGCAGAAAGGAGCAGCCTCCTGCCCTGCTGCCCTGTGCTGCCCTCCCCTGCACAGCCCTGCTCACCGGGTTGCTGCTCTGAAAATGGTTTCCTTGGCCATTTGGGTCACCAATGCCACGTTGACACAGGCACTGCGGTCTGCAGGTCCGGTGCCAGCACCTGGAGTGGGGTCAGGACTCAGCACAGCAGCACCAAATGTTGGGGTGAGGGCAGGGGGAATTTTGGGAGCTTCCCTGATCCTGTAGGAGCACAGCGGGCTCCAGTTTGGAGCTGACTTATCTTTTTTGTAGGACACCAGTTTGGAGGGCTGAGCTGGGACTCTTTTAATCATCTGGTGCCATTTTTGGGGGGGCTGTCCATCTGCAAGGCAGAGGGAAAGGAAGGATGAAAGGAGCAGCCTCCTGCCCTCTTCTCTGTGCTGCCCTCCCCTGCACAGCCCTGCTCACCGGGTTGCTGTCCCCAGGGCTGTGAGGAAAGGCCACTGCAGTCAGCAGGTCCGGTGCCAGCACCTGGAGTGGGGTCAGGACTCAGCACAGCAGCCCCCAACATTGGGGCAGGGCAAGGGAAAGCATGGGGAGCTGGCAGGGTCCCGCAGGAGCGAGGCGGGCTGCAGTTTGGGAGCGACTTATCTGTGGTGGGGGTGAGCACAGGAGCGTCTCGCCGTCCTGCTGTGTCCCTGTCCCCGTGTGTGGCTGTGAGGCAGAGGAGGAGCGGCCCCATCCATCGCCATGGGCTGCTCCTGCCCGCCACAGCCCTGGCTCCCTGGGTCCTGGGCGGCGCTCTGGGGCTGGCACTGCCCTTGTGCTCAGCATTCCGGGCTGCTGTGACACCAAGCTGGCTCTGGAACACAGCCCCCCCAGCGTGGTGCTCTTGTGACATGGCTGTGCCGGCTGCAGGGGGCTTCCTGGAGCTGCTGGCTGCCCCTGGCAACGTGGCCGTGCCATAGCAGGGCTGGTGCTGCCTGGCCTGGGGCTGCTGCCTTCTAATAAAGGAAGCGATGAGTTGTTGTTCAGTTGGTTCCTGATGGTACTCAGGCTGTGTAAGCATGATGAATACAGCTGTGAGATCCAGGCTTCTCTCTCTTCCCATTTATCTCAGAAGGAGCAGAAGGGTTGCCTCTGTGTAGAAGCTGAGTGTTATGAGCACACTGCTCTGCTTTCCTTCATAAGAAAATGGCAAAGTGTTCCTGGGTTCTTTGCCTGCCCAGCACAGCACTTCTGAGGGCCGCTGAAGCCCAGCCTGGCTGCAGGCAAATGCATAGAAATGAAAGGTTTTGGACCTGTGCCTGGTGCTGGGGCTCAGTTTGGCTGCAGCATCTCTTGGAACGTTGAGATGTTGGTTTTCCTCTCTGCAGGGCAGCCACAGGGCTGCACTGGGGGCCATCCCATACCGACGGCCGCAGCAGAGGCCGGCCCTGGTCCCAGCTGAGCTCTCGGAGGAGGAAGCCATGAGGATCGCCAGGATCTTCTCTGCTCGGCTCTGCGAGAAGGAATAGCATGGATGAGAGCGTGGATGGAGATCTCATGGCACAGCTGATTCCTGGCACGTCACAAGCACCGTGTCCTCAGGGAGAGGAGGTGGGAGCAGCAGGGCTCGCCCTCTGGCCCTTAATTGGCCTAATTGGGGTTTACTTGGAGGGAGCAGAAGCGTGGTGGCCTACCAAGGGCAGCTGCAGGTGGAGATCCCAGGTGACGCTCAGCTCCCTGCTTCCCAATCCATTGACTGACTTGTTCTTCAGTTCTCCACCCACTGAGATCCGTTCTTATGCAATTTGTCTCCTGTTTATACAACAACTTTGGTCAAACATCCAATTTTGGGGCATCTCCTTGACCCAAAGGATGGAGAACATGAACAAATTGCCATCCTGAGAGACAGCACAGAGCTGCTGCATCACCGCCCGTGCAAGGGGGTGGGAGAGGAGCTCCCTCCCCTCCTCGTGGCCTTTAAGAATCACTGTACATCCAGACCAAGGATGCCACACAGCGAGTGTACAAAAGGGTTTGCATAGAAATACTGAACTTTTATATTATAAATTATATTGTAAATTATTTCTGTACATTTCTACGCCGGATCCCCGTGCTGCAAGTTGTGTCCGCGCTGCTGTGGCAGAGCTGTTTGTGTTTCAATAAAGTGATGCCCATTTCTGGCTTTGTGTGCCTGCACTGCCAGCTGCATCCACGGGATCGAATGCCTCCAAGCAGCGCAGGTGGAGCAGAGCGGGGTGAGGGGGTCCTGCTGGTGTCCCCAAAGGTGGGGATGGAGCCGCCCTGGGGGTTCCGTGGCTGTGAGTTTTAAGAAAGCAGAAAAAGGGCTTTTGTTGAGTTCTCACCCCATCCTGGAGCTGCTTCCCATCCCCGCAGCCTTTGTGCATCGCTGTCTGCCAAATGGGGCGGTGGTTTTGTTGCCTGCACCCTGTGGATGTGAACTCAGGGTTCCTCCATGTGAGCGCAGGGGACGCACGGCGGCGGCTGCGCTGCAGGAAATCCCTGTGTGGTAAACAAACCTGGCAGCTGCGTGGGATTAATGACAGCCTCGTGCTGGGGACAGAGGGTCTGTGTCCCCAGGCTCCCAATCAGACCAGATTGTATTTTCCAGTGCTGCTCCCCCAAAGCTTTGGCGCAGGGACTGAAATGCCGTCACCCCTTGGAGCTGCCAGGCGGCCCCGCTCTCAGCAGCTCAAATGCCAAGTGGGGGACGGGGCTGTGCTGTCACCCGATCCCCGCAGCGCCTGGAACGTCCTCCGGGAGCTATAAATTGGGGGCAGAGAGCTGGCGCTCGGGGCTGCACATGGGTGGAAGGAGTGGGACGGGGACACGGAGCCCACAGTAAGGCGCTGTGGGACACCAGGACTCAGCGAGCTGCACCAGGCTGCTCCGGACCTCGGTTTCCCTAAGGATGCAGAGAAACAGAGCAGGATTTGATTCTGTACTTGTGTGAAGCCAACCAGAGCCGTGGCAGCAAACCGCCGTCTCCAACTGTGAGCCAGGAGCCCCGCAGGACGCGGCGTCCCACTGCCAAACCTTTGGTTCCCTGCCAGCCGTCATGGTGGGCCTGAAGCCCCCCGAGGTTCCCCCCACGGCCGCCGTGAAGTTCTTCAGCGCCGGGACGGCCGCCTGCATCGCCGACCTCTGCACCTTCCCCCTGGACACCGCCAAAGTGCGGCTGCAGGTAAAAGCCCTCAGAACCCCGTGGGCAGATGGAGCTCCCACGGTGCCGGGAGCCACGGCGGCGATGCCACCGAGCGGGGACACAGAGGGTGAGGTGACGTGTGGGCACCCCACAGATCCAGGGCGAGGTGAGGATCCCACGCAGCACCAACACGGTGGAGTACCGGGGTGTGCTGGGCACGCTGAGCACCATGGTGAGGACCGAGGGACCCCGCAGCCTCTACAGCGGGCTGGTGGCCGGGCTGCAGCGGCAGATGAGCTTCGCCTCCATCCGCATCGGGCTCTACGACTCTGTGAAGCAGCTCTACACCCCAAAAGGGGCTGAGAGTGAGTGCAGTGGGGGCTGGGACCTCACCCCTGTTGCGCATCCCAACCTGGTGTGCAACGGCCCCAATAGACACCAACCCAAGCCACCCCAACGAGGGACCAACCACCTCAATGGGGGACCAACCCACCCCGATGGGCAACCAACCGTCTCAATGGGAACCAACCTACCCCAGTGGGGACCAACTCATCCCAGTAGGGATCAACCCATCCCAATGCGGGACCGACCCGCCACAATGAAGGACCAATTCATCCCAGTAGGGATAACCCAGCCTGGTAGAGGACCAACCCACCCCATTGGGCACCAACCTACCCCAGTAGGGGACCAACTCATCCCAGTAGGGATAACCCACCCCCAACCTTCCCCAATAGGGGACCAGCTCATCCCAGCAGGGATAACCCATTCCAAAGAGGGACCAACCCACCCCAATGGGGGACCAACTCATCCAAGCAGAGACCAACTACCTCAGTGGCAACCAACACACCCAAAGCGTGCAGAACCCAGCCCTAGCTGCGCAGCCCTCCCCAAAATGCACCCCCAAACCCCAGAGTCACCCCCCTCCCTGCTTGTGGCACAGGATGGGGTCCCAACACGTGCTTTCCCCAAGGCACAGGGCTGCTGGTGCGGCTGCTGGCGGGCTGCACCACGGGGGCCGTGGCGGTGACATGCGCCCAACCCACCGACGTGGTCAAGGTGAGGTTCCAGGCTCTCGGGGCACTGCCAGAGAGCAACCGTCGGTACAGCGGCACGGTGGATGCCTACAGGACCATCGCCAGGGAGGAGGGAGTGCGTGGGCTGTGGAGAGGTAGGGGATGGGATGGGATGGGATGGGATGGGATGGGATGGGATGGGATGGGATGGGATGGGATGGGATGGGGTGGGATGGGATGGGAGGGGATGGGGTGGGGTGGGATGGGGTGGGGTGGGGTGGGATGGGATGGGACTGGGATGGGATGGGATCGGGATGGGATGGGATGGGATGGGATGGGATGGCGGATGGATGGAGATGGGAGGGGGATGGGGTAGGGGGTGGGATGGGGTGGGCGTGGGGTGGGGTGGGGTGGGGGTGGGGTGGGCGTGGGAGGTGGAAATGGAATGGAAAAGGAGATAGTGATGAGGAAGGCACGTGAGACGGCATGGCATGGAATGAAATAGAAGAGAGGAATAACATGGGATGGGAACAGGATTCAGCATCAGAGAAGTTTGGGTGGGAAGAAATCTCAAAGCCCCCCCCAAGCACCGGCCGCTCCATGGGCAGGGACACCTCCCACAGCCCTGGGTCCGTAGCTCCATCCATGGCTTTGAGCATGCAGAGGGGCACCCACAGCTCTGGGCATCAGCGCCAGGGCTCTCCTTAGAGGTGAAGAATTTCCATGAGAACTGTAGGGACATGGTCAGTGGGTATGGTGGGGCTGGGTTGGGGTTGGACTTGGGGATCTTGGAGGGCTTTTCCAACCTTAATCATAGAATGACAGCATGGCCTGGGTTGCAGAGGAGCACAGCGCTCATCCAGCTCCAAGCCCTGCTGTGTGCAGGTCGCCAAGCAGCAGCCCAGGCTGCCCAGAGCCACATCCAGCCTGGCCTTGAATGCCTGCAGGGATGGGGCATCCACAGCCTCCTTGGGCAACCTGTGCCAGTGCCTCAGCACCCTCTGCCTCCAAAACTTCCTCCTCACATCCAACCCAAACCTCCCCTGTCTCACTTTCAAGCCATTCCCCTTGTCCTGTCACCACCCACCCTCACACACAGCCGTTCCCCCTCCTGTTCATCCGCTCCCTTCAAGCACTGAAGGCCACCATCAGGTCTCCCCAGAGCTTTTTCCAAGCTAAGCAATCCCAATTCCCTCAAAATGATTCTATGAACCCCATCTCTCAGCTCTGAATGGGGACAAGGGATGGGGACAGGGATGGGGACAGGGACAGTGGCACTGGGGCACCCCATGCCAACACCACCCCCCTCCCCACAGGGACGCTGCCCAACATCGCCCGCAATGCCATCATTAACTGCGGTGAGCTCGTCACCTACGACCTCATCAAGGACGCGCTGCTGCGGGCGCAGCTGATGGCAGGTGAGGACGGGAGCGAAGGCGCAGCCCCACGTGCCGCCCCAGCCCCCCCCAGAAGCCCTCACCTCCATTCTGCCCCGCAGACAACATCCCCTGTCACTTCGTGGCTGCTTTTGGGGCCGGATTCTGCGCCACGGTGGTGGCGTCACCGGTGGACGTGGTGAAGACGCGGTACATGAACGCCAGCCCTGGGCAGTACCGGAATGTGCCAAGCTGCCTGCTGGCCCTGCTGCTGCAGGACGGCATCGCTGGCCTCTACAAGGGGTGAGTGGTGGGACGCCATGGGCTGCGCTCTGCTCGCCGGCCTCATTCTGCCACCGTGGCACAAAGCTGGGATGGCTGACGTCCCCTGCGCCGCTGCTGTCCTCACCGCAGGTTCGTCCCCTCCTTCCTGCGCCTCGGCTCCTGGAACGTGGTGATGTTCATCTCCTATGAGCAGCTGCAGCGTGTGGTGATGCTGGCCCGGTCTGCACCCCCCTGATCGCCCCCAGCCCCACTCGTCTGCGTTGATGAGATGCAGCAGTCAATTATATTAATTGCTGAAGCAGAGGGGAAGGGAGACAGCAAAGGTCCCCAACCCTGTGGGATGAGAGGGACCAAAGGGACCAGCAGAAGGAGAATGGAGAGAAGGGAAGGATGGAAGAAGGGAAGGGAAGGTCCACAGCGGAGAGGGGAGAGGAAGGAAGAAGGTGTTGAGGTTTTCCAGTTGGGAACAGCGGTGCTTTCCGGCAGCAGTGGGACAGAGAGGTGGGAAGGAGCTGTGTGGGATGGGGGATGTGGTGAATCCGGGTATTCCTCACTGATGCTGCAAATAAATCACCCCTATGGGGTTTGTCTCAGCAGGACTCAGGGCTCCATCACCTTATTTTTATTACAGGGGTGGGTTTTTCCCATGGTCCGGAGGTGCAGTTGGGTTACAATCCTCGTGGTGTCCTCAGTGATTCTGGTCTTGCCAGATGGGAGCAGCCCAAACCTGGGGAACGCTGCAGTGCAGAAGGAAGGGAGGAGGAGGGCAGCAATCAGTGCACTGTAACACGAGGGGAGCAGAGCTGGGGAGGTGGGAGCAGCCCCAGCAGCGTTCTGTGGATGGATGGGGTCCTGGAACCGGGGGAAATCCCCTGTTTTAAACCTCACTCACAGTGCTGGCAGCCTCACCAGGACAGCAGAAGGCTGACAGCTCCTAGGACAGCAGCGCATTCCTCAGGAGCAGCTTCTTGTCGGGCGTGAGGCGTTTGGGGAAGCAGACATTGAAGTGGATGAGGAGGTCACCCCTACGCCGCGGGTCCTTGAGCAGAGGCATCCCCTCCCCAGGCACCACTTTGCAGTACGTGGGGCTGCAAAGCGAGAGAGGGCTGAGAAGGATGGTTGAGATGTGCTCCTGAGGGGGGAGATGGGGCCCCACTGAGGTGCACAGAGCATCTCCTGCCACCACGGCCCCACACAGTGCCCTGCGTGCACATATGAGGTTTCTGAAGGCAGATTTGCTCCCACCCAACGCCAGCCCACCGTGCCCTTTCCTCCCCTTGCCCTCACATTCCTCAACCCGGAGGCAGCGCCGCTCCATCCAGCTCCCACCTCCCCATTTTTGCCTCTCCAAGCACCCTGAGGGTGAGCAGTGGGACTCTGCCTGCAGGTCGGGATCCCCCAGCCTGCTCCCAAAGCTCTTGGAGCAATCCAAGAACCCAAGCAGAGCAGCCGGCAGCCTGCAGGGCTTCCTCCCACAGCCCCCATTCCCCTGCAGCTCTGCACCACCTCCCGCCCTGAGCTGAGCCCTCTGCTCACTGCACGATGTCATTGATGGGGACGTTCAGCAGCCGCCCGTCCAGCGTCCTCACATCCACCGTGCAGCCAATCAGTGCCTGCAGACACAGGGCAGGACCCCGAGCTGCAGCTGTGGCCACGCAGGGACCCCCATCCTTAACCATGAGAGCAGTGGGGCAGCCAAGGAGGACTCCCAGACACCAAAGGGGCCGAGGCCTCGAACCCAGCACCGTTCCTCCCTCCTCTGCACGTTTTGCTGCTGCTGGCTGAAGGCAAACGGCAGCTGGGATCCCCTCCCTTTGCTCCTCACCTTTCCCAGGGGGATATTGGCCACGTAAATGAGGTCGTCCTTGGTTCTTTTAAACCTCGGGTGAGGTTTCTCTTGGATAACAAAGGTGATGTCGGCTGGAATGACGTTGGGGCCCTAAAAAGGGGGGAAAAAAAGGATCTGGGAATGGTTGGATACACCTTTCTGAGAGGGGACACCAAAAGCTGCGCCTTTGTTGACGGCTTGTGAGAAAAGAGCATTTCCTTCACTTAGGGCAAAAAAGCCAACAGTGTGTTTTAGCAAAGTTAAGCCAAAGGAAACCAGAGCGAGTTCTGCAAACGTGAGGGCAGACAGAACAGCACCCCCTTCTGTTATGTTGACCCCAAAGGCAGAAGGGGCTCCTTTCTTTCCGATTCTGAGCACAGCAGCGCGGCCGCACTCCGGAGGAATCTGTCACTTCCCTGGGTCAGCACTAAGGGCACAGCACAGCCACGTGTCCACACAGGAGCAGTGGCAGAACAACAACCCTGAGCTCCCACCGCCGGGACACGGCAGAAACAGGAAAACCTGCAAAGAAAACACAGCTGTGCCTGAGGAAATCCAGCCAAGAACTTCAGGTCACGGTGGTTACCTGGTCTCCTTCCTTCTCAAACGTGACCCTGGTGCCTTGCTTCCAGCCCGGCTGCACGTCGATGATCAGGATCTTGTCCTTGATGGTGCTGGTTTGGCCGTCTTCGTTCATCACCTGCAAGGGTGGATGAGCTCAGGGGTAGAGATGGGGAACCTCTGCTGTCAGAACAGCTCCAGGCTGGGCTGGATGCACCCTGGGCAACGTGATGTGATGTGGGGAAGCAGTCCTCACCCTGCCCGGCACAAGCTCGCTGTCCTTACCCGATGGGAGATCTTCATCTTCTTGGTGCAGCCAAAGAAGAGATCTTCAAGGGAGACGTGGAGGTCCCACACCATCGGGGGGTCCTGCTTCATCACACCTCTTCCTCGCAGCCCTCCAAAGGGCAGGGTCACCTCCAAGCCATCCTTGGTGAAGAACTCTGCATGGGGCAGCGTGGGGGACGCAGGGCTCCAAACCCCAGTCCCAGAGTGAAAGAGAGAACAAAACTTCCAGCAGAGAGGAGATGGAGATGAGAGAACGGGGAAATATTTCACTCGGGGGGCGGTGAGGCCTTAAAACTTCTGCCCAGAGCTGTGGGTGCCCCATCCTTGGAGGTGCCAGAGGCCACAGATGGGCCCTGGGCAGCCTGAGCTGGGGGCACCCAGCCCAAAACAAGAGGTGGGGCTGAGGAGGGTTTGAGGTCCGTTAGGAAGAAGCACTGAGACAGACCATGAAATTCAGAGGCTGGTGGTGAGCACAGCCCTAAAGGCTGCCCCAGGGATGGCAGCAGAGCACCCACCCACCTGCAAAGGGGTTGTGTCCTCCAAAGAACTCCTTGAAGACTTTGTCGGGGTTGTTGTGGAACACGTAACCAGCAGTCCAAGCATCCTCACCGCCAGACTCCACAGGGATGCCACCTTTGAGACCTTCCTCACCAAACCTATCGTAGATGCCTCTCCTTACGGCTAGGGGACAAGGAGGGATTGGGAACAGCCATTTTACTGAGAGAAGGACGCCCTCAGAACAGCCCTGTGGAGTAGGATGTGGAGGTTCTGGTGGAGAAAAGCAGGACACGAGGCAGCAGTGTGCACTCGCAGCCCATAAGGCCAGCAGGGCTGCACCAACAGAGGGGGCAGTGGGCAGGGAGGGGATTGTTTCCCTCTGTCTGCCCTCGTTTGGAGCACTGCATTCAGGTCTGGGGCCCCCAGCACAGGAGAGATGTGGGGCTGTGGGTCCAGAGGAGGGCATGGGGATGCTCAGATGATGGAGCACCTCTCTATGGAGACAGGCTGAGGGAGCTGAGGATGTTCAGCCTGGAGAAGGGAAGGCTGTGAGGAGACCTCACTGAGGCCTTCCAGTGCCTGAAGAGAGCTGATAAATAGGAGGGAGAGGGACTTTTCACACAGTTTGATAGTGATAGGACAAAAGGGAATGGCTTTAAACTAAAAGACGCCCTCTGAACAGACGTGAAGAGGAATTGCTTTCCCCAGAGGATGGTGAAACCCCAGCACTGCTGCTCAGAGCTGTGGGTGCCCATCCCTGGAGGTGACAAGGCCATGGATGGGCCCTGGGCAGCCTGAGCTGGATGGGGGAGCGGGGAGGGTGATGGCACCCAGTCCACATCAGAGGGATGGGAGGGTTTTAACATCCCCTCTAACTTCAGCCATTCTGTGATTCTATCATTTTCTCCTGCTTCTCGTTATGGAGGAAAGCCTCAGCCCCAAGCTTCACTTGGGCAGAGGTGAGGTAGATAGTGCCCCTAAAGTGAGGATGGGTTGGATGTGAGCTGGGCTTGCTGCACTGCATGAACGTTTACAAGGACGGATGGTGACAGGACAAGGGAATGGTTTTAAAGTGAGACAGGGGAGGTTTGGGTTGGATGTGAGGAGGAAATTTTGGAGGCAGAGGGTGGTGAGGCACTGGCACAGGTTGCCCAAGGAGGCTGTGGATGCCCCATCCCTGCAGGCATTCAAGGCCAGGCTGGATGTGGCTCTGGGCAGCCTGGGCTGCTGCTTGGCGACCTGCACACAGCAGGGCTTGGAGCTGGATGAGCGCTGTGCTCCTTTGCAGCCCAGGCCATTCTATCACTCTATGCAGTTCAGCCCCCACGGCTTACGGTCGCTCAGCACATCGTAGGCTTCTGCCAGCAGCCGGAACCGCTCCCACGCCCACGGCTCCTTGCATTTCTTCGGGTGGTTCTCCAAGGCCAGCAGGCGGTACCTGCGGGGGGACGAGCAGAGCGCGGCCTGCAGCCCCCACCAGGCCCGGTGCTGGGATTGAGGCGGCCGGCTGCCCCGAGCCCAGGCCCCAATCTGGCCGCCTCCTCCCCCCACACGGCCCTGTCCCCCCTCACGCCTTCTTAATGTCGGCGTCCGTCGCGGTGGAGTCCAGCTCCAGCACGGCATAGTAATCCTGCCCCATGGCGGCTCCGTCGCTATGGATACGCAGGCCGCGTGGGGTCGCCACGGCAACGCGGCCAGGCCGCACTTCCGGCTGTTGGCCGCACTTCCGGTTCCGGTGGCGCGAGGCACGACGGGAGCTACGGCTCTTCCGGCGCCGCCATTTCCCACGCCAGAGCCGCCCCCCTTGCGCCTTTTGGAGCTCAATGACGGCTTTTCCTGCACACGCGCTCTATGAAAGCTTCTTTATTTCAGCCCACAGCCACGCTTTAATCCCCAACCCCCACCCACCAACAGCGGTCACCCCCACGACAGATAAAAATCGGCCGTAATGAACAAAGCTGAGCAGCTGACAAAGCGGAAGCAGCCCCAGCCCTGCTCACAGCGCTCACGGCCCCGTTGTGCACAGCCCCCAACCCTACAGGTCGCCCAGCTGGTACCGCCGCACCACCCCGTCCCTGCAGCACGTGTAGATCTGCTTCTCCCACGGAGCGACCTGGAAAAGGAGGAAAAAAATGCAGTAAACCAACAGAGCGGGGTGGGAGTACAGCAGCTCTCATGGTATGGGCGTGGGGAAAAGCAGAGGAAGCCAACAGCTCTGCCACTGCTCTGAGAAGCACCCACACATCTAAAAGATACGTGGGACAACTTATGCTTTCTCTATGAAAATTCATAGAATCATAGCATTACCTGGGTTGCAGAGGAGCTCAATGCTCATCCAGCTCCAAGCCCTGCTGTGTGCAGGTCGCCAAGCAGCAGCCCAGGCTGCCCAGAGCCACATCCAGCCTGGCCTTGAATGCCTGCAGGGATGGGGCATCCACAGCCTCCTTGGGCAACCTGTGCCACTGCCTCACCACCCTCTGCCTCCAAAACTTCCTCCTCACATCCAACCCAAACCTCCCCTGTCTCACTTTCAAGCCATTCCCCTTGTCCTGTCACCACCCACCCTCACACACAGCCGTTCCCCCTCCTGTTCATCCACTCCCTTCAAGCACTGAAGGCCACCATCAGATCTCCCTGCAGCCTTCTCTTCTCCAAGCCAAACAAGCCCAGTTCCCTCAGCCTTTCCTCACACAGAGCTGCTCCAGCCCTCTGCTCATCTCAGTGCCTCCTGTGGACCCGCTCCCAGAGCTCCACGTCCATCCTGTGCTGGGGACCCCAGCAGGACGCAGCGCTGCAGATGGGGCCTCACAGGAGCCGATGGAGGGGACGATCACCTCCCTCTCCCTGCTGGCCGCCCCTTTTTCATGCAGCCCAGAACACATTGGCTGCATTCCGGGCTGCAGGCGCTCACTGCTGCCTCATGCCCAGCTCCTCGTCCACCAGGACCCCCAGCCCTTCTCCGCAGGGCTGCTCTCCAGGACATCTTCCCCCAGTCTGTGTCAATACCTGGCTTTGCCCCGACCCGATGCAGCACCCTGCACTCGGCCCTATTGCACCTCACTAGGTTCTCATGGGCCCACTTCTGTGTGAGATGGCAGGAGGTGCTCACCTGCAATTCCCCCATAGAACAAATGTGAAAGATGTCCCATCTCTGGAAGTGCCAGAGCCGGGTTTCAGGGCTCCACTAAGGATAAAGCAGTGCATTGCTCAGAATGCACATCATCCCACAAGAAAGGAACCATCTGTTCTGAATATGTGAATTTTCTTCAGTGAGCTGTTAGGTACCAAAGGGACAGGAGAATGCTTCTCCCAGGTGGTAACGATTAATAGGAAAGGTCCGTTTTCCTAAAAAGCCCAAGGAGGCTGTGGATGCCCCATCCCTGCAGGCATTCAAGGCCAGGCTGGATGTGGCTCTGGGCAGCCTGGGCTGCTGCTTGGCGACCTGCACACAGCACGGCTTGGAGCTGGATGAGCGCTGTGCTCCTCTGCAACCCAGGCCATGCTGTCATTCTACAATTGTATGAATTTACTGAAGATTTCACTCCTGTCTCCGAGGTGGGCAGGTAAGTGCTCACATAAAGGGTCTTCTGATAGATCTGAAGGGGAAAAAGGGTTTGGGTACTGCTGAATTTGGTAGGACAAGAGGTCAAGGCGTCACACTGCACCAGAGGAGGAGTCAGTGGGGTATTAAGAAGCATTCTCCAAAGGGTGGTGATGCAGTGGCACAGGCTGCCCAGGGAGTGGAGAAGTCACCATCCCTGGGTTGTTCAAGGGCCGTGGGGATGTGGCACTGAGGGATGGGGGCAGGCAGGGGGCACGGTGGGATGTGCTGGGGTTGGTAACCTTACAGGTCTTTTCCAACCTTCATGATTTTATGATTCCCCGAATTCTGCAGGTCAAATTTCAGACTCAGAATGATGCTGCATGCTAAACTTGTGTTTATCAGCTCAGGAAAGGACTGCAGAGGGGTAACCACTTAAAACTAAGCTGATTTCCTTCAGGTTTCCATCCTCTGCACCATGTGATGCAGAGCCCAGGGAACACAGCTCACTGTCTCCCATCTGTGTGGACACAGAGCTGAAGTACTTTTGTGGTCTCACATCACATAGGAGCCGAAGACAGGCAGCACTGTGCTGCCAGTTGTTGCTTTGACCCCCATAAACTCCCAAGCACAGATCAATTCCAGCTTCCTTACAGGAAAAAAAAAAACCATTCTGCCAGATCTACTCCACAACTAAGTTAGTTCTCTGCTTCAGTTCCACTCCTGCAAAGTGGAGATAATACTACCACGTACCACAGAGAGATGCTGACAGCATTTGCTTATGCCAAACATTAACAGAAAACCTCAGGCAGCCAATTCCTGAGGTAAATGCAAGTGCCTGATGCTTGGCATCACCTTTCCCCAAGCACTCTACTTCAGTCAACACAACATATTCCTTACCTTGTACACAGGGTCACAGTCTGCCTCTGTGAGGTCGATGACATAATCGAGGTCTTGCTGGATGATAAAGCACGTTCCATCACCTGTGCAAGCAGAAAGAACACCAAGGAAGGAAGGAATATTGGGTGAGGAGTAAAAACAGGCCACGTTCTTTCTATAAAGAAAATGGAGACGTGCTGTGAGGGCATCAGTGAGATGGGAAAAGGCTGTAATGACTGAGAAGCTCCATGCAGGCCCTGTTCTGGGGGAGCACAAGAAAAATCACAAGGCAAAAAGCAACTACGTAATAGGAGGTTCCACTACATCACCTTTTTGCAATGGACATTTGGTCAAGCCCTCTTCTAGAGGCTTGGACATCCAATGCTTGTATATAAGAGAGGGCAGAAAGAGCATGAAACTGCTCAGTTCAATTCCAAAATCTCTACATAGCACTTGAGTTACCTTGGCTGGCAATGAATCCATCTCTGTACGGGAACAGGGAAAGCACTGGTGCTCCTGATCTGTGAATTATTTGGATTGGAGCACTGGAAAAATACAAAGAAGGAACAGGAAGAAGAAAAGCATTATGGACAAATCAAAATCCATCCCAAAGCCTGAGCGCTGAAAGAAGAATGTGAGGTAGTGATTAGAAGATACATAAGGAGAACATTAAGACACAGGGATTATCCCTACCAAAACAGCCACAAGCTTGGAGCTTATTGTGCATGAAAGACTTCCCAGATTTTTCCATGCCAGGCTCCCCTGTCCTCCCCCCTCCATCTGGATGCTCCTTGCTTGGAGCTTGCCCTTCACACCAGTAAAAGCCACCTCAGAGCATCTCCTGCCAAACATCCTCCTGAGCGATCCCCAAGAGAAAGAAAAGATGCCAAGGGGCTCCAAAGCTCACAGTGCCATTGCCCTGGGCTGAATCCACCTTCAGAAGAGGCAACGTCTGCCAGAACCTTTGATTTGACTCTTCCTCAGAGGAAAACAACCACCCACAATTGCCATTCAGTACTTGCAGCCCCAGGCATGCACTCACTTGGTGTTTCTCACATCCAGCTGATAGATGTTCCCATCCTGAGTCCCTGCTAGGAAATAGGTACTTGAGAGGAACGTGCAGCAATTGAATGCATCAGATCCATCAAAGAGGAACACCTGGGAATATAAAAAACAGCAAGTGTCACAGATGTGCCAAAGCAGCCGCAGGACAGCCAGGAATAGGAAGCAATTTACTCAGGAAGTCAGTAAGGTTGTTTCTGTGAGTCATGGCACAAATCCAGAGGTAGGTTAATAACCCTCTCAACTCTGCTCCAAGATGTGTGGGAGAACAGTGCCCTAGAACCAGCCCTGCCAAATTAGGAAGGTTACTGCAATCAGTGAGTGCCCCCTGGGGCACTCT